TCGCCAGATGTTGTTGGGGCATCCCGTGACTCGGGGGGGGGGGGGGGGGGGGTGGATGCTACTGGCACCCCATGGGTAGAGAGGCTAGGGGATGTGGCAAAAATACCCTGCAGTGAACGTGACAGTCTTCCACTTCTTCATCAGTGGAACACATCAACACCTCCAGGTTGAGAATGCCCAATTCAGGTTATGAGAAACCAAAGGGCGTCAGGACCATTAAAATTCAAGTAAGACACACACACACACACACACACACACACACACACACACACACACACACATACACACATGGCAGTTTGTTTTAGGGTAAAATGAAGGAGGGGCGGGGAGGGGAGGGGAGGGACAATCAGAATAATCTGGGTAGAAACCACAGCTTTGCTGCCCTCCCACTAAATCATGTTAACTGAATTTGCTTAAGTTGGGCTTTCCTTCCTGGAGACTAAGAGTCACCCACACTTCAGGTTAACATGAGATGCTGTCAAAGGACACAGTGGGTATTAAGGGAAGTGGGCTGCTTGTCCCACCTGTCTGGCGTCGCAAATTTACAAGGTCATTTAAAAGGCGGCATTTCCTTTGTCAGGTGAACTGAGGCTTTCTCCGGGATATTATAATAACTTGATGTATTGAAAAGTCTACAACCTGGAGACACTTTTTGCAGATGCACTCTTAATATGTGTTCTTTTGTGGCTATGAAAATGCGCCAGTTTTCTATATGTGGGTTTTGATGTCGATGGGGAAGGAAAGCTGCCCATCAAAATATATTATTGACGTGAGTGAATCTTGGTGGTTTACACCATTCTCTGAGTGGTGTGAAAAAAAAAAAACAAACCAACTTTTTTCCAATGCTAACCTGGATCATTTTGTACTGGTCACATTAAAAACCTTAACCACCAGCTTTTCACAATTTCATCAGTTTCTGATGTCTTCACATTTCCTGTGACTTTTAGCATGTGTTCAATTTTACTTTTTTTTTTCCCTTGTAACCAACACATGTAACTCTATTTCAGTTGGCAAAGAACAAAATTCAGTGTTTCCTTCACACCCTGGTAAGGTTGGTGGAAACGTAGAAAACAGAAAAGCCTCTCACTCTTGACTGTTCTGCCAGTTAGCTTCTAAAGACCCCATTGGTAGAAGCATGGGGCACATCCACACAGAGGTGTGTTGCCCTGTGTGTGCTTGGCTGAGCTCAAGAGACACAGGAACTGGGGTTGAGACATTTGGTTGGGTTTGCTTCAAGTGAAATCACTTACTGATAAACATCTAGTCTCGTCTTTTCTCTAAGAAACGTCTTTTGTAGAAATTCCCTAAATTGCCTAATCCTGAAGTTACTTCCCACTTCAAACAGTTACCTTGTAAGGGTCAGATGGGCATTCCTGTGCAAGCATACTTCTGAAGGAGCCTTGTCCAGAACAAGAAGAAGAACATGTACAACTCTTTCATTTAAATATCCAAATTCAGGTAAATGATATGAGGTAGAAATGCACAAAAACAAAAAGGAAGAAAGAATACTATACATGAATGAAGGATTTGAAAAATTCTAGAAGTTGGTATGAGAAGATAGATTGCTGGCATGAGTTTACTACTTTTCCCTGTATGGAAAAGGAAAGAGGAAGCCATTTAAAGCGACCATTTGGCAGGACAAGTTAGTGTCTCTTAAGTAATGGTGTGCTGGAGCTGGCTGGAGCTGCTTCAGAAGACCAAATGTTCTCAGTTTTTCCCAAGTCCACATTCAATGACATCATGTTAGCATGAAGTCAGCCACAGTGGGGATATTGACATCACAGAGGGGCTAACACTCTAACCCAGTAATTTTCCTCTGCAGAGAGTGCAGTTAGCGTCACACTACTGAGTAAATCACCCCAGGGTCATGATGTTACACGATGGACATTTGGCATGAAGAGGTCAGCAGGTGAACAAGGAAGAAGGCCAGCAAGCCAGGTGGGAGGAGAAGAGAGACAGAAGGAGGAGGAGGACACCAGGAGACATTTGTCAAATGACTTAGAATCTTCTCAGCTGACTCAACTGAATGACATGTGACCAACGGCAAGGCTAAGGAACAAGACCGAGGTATAGTGTCCAATGAATGCCGAGAAATGGTTTCTGAAATTCCTGCAGAACCCAGGGGCTCACGTGTGTGAAAAAGCTTGAGAGCTCACACTCAGGAGCCACACAGCCAAGGCGTGCACTGCTAACTCAATGGGTCAGAGGAAACTCGATGATTTGAGGGGTCTTTTGATATTTACAGTGTTGTGGGGTGGGGCGGGGGCGTCAGAAACAGAAAGGTGAGCTTTATCCTCGTTTATGGGACACTCACCACAATCAAGAAGCTGTCGTAGTTCTGCAGGGTTGCTGGAGCTCTGTGTTCTGTAGAGAGTCGAACATTCCAGTCCTAGGACACAAAACAGACCATGTATGCAAAACACAGTTCTCTGGAGAACTTGAGAGCCTGGTGCCAGAGGGACATTCCAATTTCCATCCAGTATCTATTCGAGATGTGTACTAAATATTCTTGGAAGCCAACCCCAACAATTAATTTTATCTGCTATGTCAATAATTTTTGGCAAATCCAGTGAGCCATTAAAAAGCAGGTTACTCATATTTATTAAATTATGAAGAATCAAACAGCTCCCACAAGGAACGGCACGTTAGTCTAGAACAGTGGTTCTCAACCTGTGGGTTGGAACTCCTTTGGGTTTAAACGACCCTTTCACAGGGGCCACCTAAGACCATCAGAAAACGCAGATGTTTACATTACGATTCATAAAAGTAGCAAAATACAGTTAAGAAGTAGCACCAAAAATAATTTTATGGTTGGGGGTCACCGCAACAGGAGGAACTGTATACAAGGGTCACAGTGTCAGGAAGGTTGAGAACTACTGGTCTAGAGTTAGAAATTATCAGCCAGGATTCCTCCCCTGATACAGAGACCCACACAGCTAGCATGATTAGAACGGCCTCTATTGACAGCAGTTAGTAAGACAGTCACATATTGAATGGCCTAGAGATGCATATCAAGTTTAATAGCCATGAATTGAAGGTCTCAAACACTAACTCCCTCTAGCAGTCTGGTTACCTTTCTTCTCAATGGCTTCTAGGAGCTTGATAAGGAGAGGTGGGGCCACATCAGGAGGGGCGAACTGCTCAGCCAGATCAGGAAGGGTCAAAGCTGAAAAAAAGAAATTCCCGACATTAGGTTTCATGGGAGGCAGTCAAATGCATTCAACCACAATGAAGACTATTTAAATACAAGTAATTCAATGATTCCCATCCATAGCAAACTCAGAGTGGCGCTAAAGGGATTCCTACACCACACTACACATTATTGGAGCCTTAGGACATACCTGTTGTTTTTCTCCAGAACACTCTCCCAATGCCCACCAAGAATCCCAGAATCCCCTGACAACAGGCCTTGGATGGTCTCTCCTCTGGGACGTCTTTCCTAGGACAGACTGTCCTGCCTTAGGGCACCTCAGAGTGCAGGCTGGGTTAGGTAGAGGGGCTCCAGGCTAGACTGGAGCTTGGATGTTCAGGGAGCATTGAGAGATGTTTCAGGGTACAGCTCCCTTTATCCCCATGCCTGGGCAAATTGCTATTTAAGAGTTCAATCTAGGGGAGCTCTCGGAACATCTGAAATCAAGTCTGGCTTCTAGGTTATTATAAAAGAACCTTTGCTCAGGTAGGCGAGACTAGATAAAATCTTACGAGATAGTGTGTTATCCTGATACATACCTGAACAGCTGAACTCCTAGCAGTTGGGCATTCTTTTGTACCCTTGCACTGAGTTCTGTCAATAAAAGGCAACACCAATGACCACTGGCCACCTAACAACAAACTAAACCCCTGTGTAATTGTTATCAAAACTTTTGCGTGCGTGCGTGCATGCGTGTGTGCGTGCGTGCGTGCGTGTGTGTGTGTGTGTGTGTGTGTGTGTGTGTATGTGGTAGGAAATGAGACACTTAAAGTTTTTAAGGTTTATTTCATATTATGTATGGGTGTTTTGCTGGCATATACGTATATGATGTATATGTATATGTATCACTTGTGTGCCTGGAACTTGTAAAGGAAAGAAAACCCTGGAACTGGAGTTACAGATGTTTATGAATTACTATGTTGGTTCAGGAACTAAACCTGGGTCCTCTATAAGAGCAACAAGTGCTCTTAACCACTGAACTACCTCTCCAGCCCCAAGAAATACGATACTTTAATAAACTGTGTTTTCATATGTTATGAGTACATTTTACCAGTTGTAATGATACAAAAATATCTAATAGAATGACAATCACAAATTACTTGCTCTGACAACATTATATTGATAACCATATTTTTCACTCAAAAAAGGAAGAAAAAAAAAAACTGAAGTGAAAGTATTTTTCAAAACTATGCCAGAAGAGGGAGCTAAATATTTCACCTCACATTTCTCAAACTCCAAAATATAGCGTTGCGAATCTTAATAAAAACATCTTCAGGAGTAACTCATCTGTCAATAATCCAATAATTTCAGGTGTTTATGATTCATAACTTGCATCTTATCTAGGACAGTTTCATATAATCCACTGAATGGCCATAATTAGGTTTCAGTGAGGTTTTAGTGGTATAATTATTATAAGATGTATATGATATTAAAAAATTCTAATTAAACCCACTGTAAGTACCAAGAATCAACATAGAATAGTAACAGATTTATAACTAAAAGTAGTGTTATTAAATGACCTCAAAGAGCTAAGATGACTTGGGAAGTCATTTTGCAAACTCCGAAACTCCCTGGCCTAAGACCCCTGGAGTTCCCACTGTGTCCTGTCGGAGTCCCATGGGATTTGTCACTCAACTATATTGACCAAAGCAGCCACGCAGAATGAAAGAAGAACTAAATTCTAGAGGAAAACCCTATCACAACACTGTCCAATGACACTTTCTGTGATGAGAAAAACAGTTGGACAGGCTTGCTCTACAATACAATGACGACTGGGAACTTAAAATGTAGCCACTGCAACATTCAGCAACTGATTTTTTTTTTTTAAGTTTAATTAACAGATGTGGCCTGAAGTAGCTAAATGCAGGCTGTGACCACAGTATTTAAGACTGCAATCTGAGAACCTGAGCAAAGGCAAATTCCGATAGTGAAATGAAAAGTTTCTGAGTCATTTTCTGCTACACAGACCCCAGAATGAAGACATCTTTGTCCAAGATAAGGCATCCCTGATTGTACTCCATAACCTACAAATCTCTCCATCTGGCTACCTGGGAGACTCTGCCTCATGACACCAACATCTCATAGCTTTTTGACATAATAAAGGTAGAGTAGCTATCCATTAAATTTCTAGACGGTTCCTATGCAGAAAGCTGATGGGGATGAAGGACTTCATTCCTAGAACCAAGATATCTAAGAATAGGGGTAGTGATCTGTTTTGAGTTAGTATTAAGTTTGATTTTGTAGGTGATTTCTATGAAAAACCCAGCAATGAGATCAGTCAATTTTAAATGTCAAGATGTGAAACGTTTTTGAAAAGTGCTTATAAGCGGGGCGGTGGTGGCGCACGCCTTTAATCCCAGCACTCGGGA